TATGTTATGTTATGTTATGTTATGTTATGTTATGTTATGTTATGTTACGTTACGTTATGTTACGTTACTTTATAACGTATATTCCAATTAACCACAGGGAACAATGCACACATAAGTTCTAAAACATATCCCTTATGTATAGAAAAGTATAAGCAAAGTAATATCTATGAACATTTATTTTTTCCACTGTATTCTTCAGAAATATTTAAAGAACCTACTTGGGTGTACATGTTTTAGAAAGAATAGTTTAACAAACACATGGTGGCAATTAGCAAAATATATAATTATTAATGTACATGTTAAATTTATCTGAGGGAAAAGGGTGGTTTAGAAATACAAAATTCAAATAAATAAAATGTGTGGCTGAGAGGTGCTAACCATCCTATTATTATAGATGTAAGTATCTTAGAAAATTTTGTGTATATAAAATATATGTTACAGGTTAAGAATAGACTTAAGTTTCTAAAGCCAGAAACTTGGAAATGTCACCCACTGTGCTAAAAAATAGAAACAACTGCAGGTTTATGAAGTTGTTATACTAATTATTCTATTCTTTCTGCATACAGTTTATATCTGGAAATGTAATTACCTAAGGGAACATATATTTGTGCACACTCTAAAATGCTTATTTTAAGATCCTAAAAGTGAATTTTATAAACCACTATTTCCTTGTGCTTTACTTAAAACTATAACAGATTTCAGCCTATTTATTGCATATAATTTTATTCTGTCCTTACCCAAAAGAACAAGTCACCTCTTTTTATCTTCTCAAAAACTCTATGAAATACATTCAACTGAGAAACAGAGACTTCCCCAAGGTAAACCAGTAAAATAATAAATATTTAAAGGGAACCCACTAAAATAAGTAAATGCTGCACAATTGTGTCTTCCTAGGTCTGCAGATGTAAAGATTCATTCATATTGAGGCCTCCCTCCTGAATAGCTCAAACATATGCATATATATACATATACATACATATATGCATACATACATATGTAAGCTTCTGATTATTGGATACTTTTATTTTTGCATTAGATAGCACATCCCTGGTAATTTTATTTTACATTCATTTCTTCCATTTGTAAATTTGTGTGAAATAATTACAATAGAAAACTGGACATTCAGCAGAATGCAGAACATGGAAGGAACCTTCAGCTTAAAAAGAGGACAGTCAGTACTGACTTAATATCAGTCACAAAGATTAAATAACAAAAGAGACATGAGGAACATCCACAATTTTGGAAAATGTTAAAGGTAATTCCTCAGAATTACAAGAGAAGGAATCAAAATATATATACAACACAAAGCTAGCAGGAATACAAACACTCCAGAAGATAGGCTTAAGATACAGAAGGATCTTGACAGACTTGAACATTGGGCGCTATCTAACAAAATGAAATTCAATAGTGAAAAAAATAAGGTTCTACATTTAGCTTAGGAAAAAATGCACAGGTACCTTGCTCAACAGTAGTAATGTGAGAGTGATCTTGGACTTCTAGTGAACAATCATTTAAACATGAGCCAGCAGTGTGTTTAGCTGCCACAAAAGCCAACAGTTATAGGCTAGATAAAGAGAAGAATAGAATCAAGATCACGTGAAGTATTAATACCACTTTATAATGCCTTGGGAATGCCACACTTGGAATACTGCATCAAGTTTGGCCCCCACAATGTAAAAAAGATGTTGAGACTTTAGAAAGAGTGAAGAGAAGAGCAACTAAGATGATTAGGGGGCTGGAGACTAAAATATATGAATAATGGTTACAGGAACTAAGCATGGCTAGTCTGGTGAAGAGAAGGACCAGGGTTAGGGTTAGAGTTAGGTTTATATAAAAAATGGTTGCTGGAACTGAGTATGTCTAGTTTGATGAAAAGAAGGACTGGGGTGACATGATAGCAGTATTCCAATATCTCAGGGGTTGCCACAAAGAAGAGGGAGTCAAGCTATTCTATTCTAAGTATGTAAATAGTTTAAATCAAAAGAAATGTTATTAAAATTTTTGTTATGGGTATCCTGCTCTATTGAACGTAGGCAATATACAAGGATACAACATTTCTTGCTAAATTCAGATTCAGGTCTATTATTCTTAAGTTACTGGAATGACTAATAAAACATCAATATGTATTTGTTGTCTCACACAGCTTTATCCAGTAGTCGTTTGACCAATAGCAACAGGGGAACCCTAAACTGTAATCTAAGACTAACTTGTTGGAGAAAATCCAACTCACAGGATAGTGTCAGATCAAGCATACAATTCTTTGCAAAATTCTTGAGGAAGAGGCCTATGACAACATGACATTGAATTCAATATATTTCTTCAACATTTGAGACAATTTCATGGAATGAAATCTTTGTTTGTTTTGCATGCCCGGCCATTTTATTTCTACTGTTCTTTGCAATTCATTAAAAAAAATCTTGATTGCACAGCTAATTAAATGATTCCCTCTGCACAGGATGTACATTTTGTTTCATCTGGGATGCTCAAAAGAACAGAAGGGAAATTGGCTATTTGACTTCCACACACTTGAATCTCTTGATAACTTAAAAAAGGAATACAAGTTGAAAATATAGCTCCATGTACAATCGTCCCTCTGCCTCCCAAAGCAACTTGGATTAAGCATTAAAGCACCACAGATTTGACTGACAAAAAGGAACTTCCAGACCCACATTCAATCTGCAGAACTTTAAGTTTTGGGATCCTAAGAAAAGCTCTGGATGCTTTAAAACATTGCAGCAGATGCAATATGCATTGAACTGAATCTGCAGCATTAGGTAAGGCAATCTTTATTTATTTTTAGTTTTTCTACTAACAAACCAAGTTGTAGCCTAGTGCTTCTTTAGTTAATACCAAGCTGAAAAAAAATACAAAAGCCAGATATTTTTGAAAAGATGTAACATTGTCAAATGGACATTGTCTCATAAGCAGTGCAAAAACCAAAACAGTGTACAATATGAGAATATTTGTACTTAGTTGTTAATTCTTTACTCTAAATCTATTCAGTCCACATTCAATAAGAATCTGGGTAAGACAGACCATAGATCTTCTATGGTCATAGCTATCTACAAAATAGCATCTTTTATAGATAGCAGCTATCTATAAAAAATAATCTTGTTAATTTCAGCTGTGTTTTCTTACTAACACTCCAGACCACATTTATCACAAGTGCTGAAAGTATGATTATTCCATCACTGCAATTTATTTAAACAATTAAATGATTTTTATAGTTACAAATTTCATAGCAATCACTCTGATTACTAACCATTGGGTTTCCATAGTATGTCACTGATTCCAGATGATGTTTGGAATATCTATGTATATACAACACAAGCTTTGTATTACACAGCCCCTTTCAAAATCTTTTATGAACATACAATGTCTAATTCCTATTGTGTACCTGTATATACATGCATACTGCACACAAATATATACACACAAAAGCCTAGTAGGAGGAAAATGCCCTTATTTCCCCATCACATCTAGAAAAAGATGGTCAAGCTGCAATAAAAAATAAAGGAACAAACCATGAATTAGCTGAAATTATTTGTGTACACTACTGAAGTACCTCAGTGAAACAGGAGAATTTTGAACTTCTATTAAAGAGTCATGCCTCATTACAAAGACTGAGATCTAAATAAATAAGTATCAAGAGAATTCTTTTAATTATGTTTTTGTATGATTTGGCAGCCTCTTTGCTAAGATTATCACTGTAGCAGATTGCATCCAGGTCAATGGTATATTAATGTTTCCAATCTAGCATGCAAGAGGCAAACTGACTTTCATAGACCACCTGATGTCACTTTGCTCAAGAGTCACTCATTGACATGACAAGGGAATTTATGAGTCATTGCATCTCATCTAAAGTGAAAACCCTACTGACTGCATAATACGTGAAGCAGCTCCAAGGCTCAATATGGTTGAATGCAGGCAAGCTATTTTGCCCAGATGAGAAGTTCCTGTCAGAGAGGTTGCTCCTATTTCTAATGAACTGTTTAAAATGAACATTTCTGATTCACTTTTCTGGAAAACAGAGATAATGATCCATGAGATAATCCAGAACTATTTTTATGTGTAATACTAACTAGAACAGGGCTGTCAAATTTGTGGCCTGCAGGCCAGGTGCCTCACACGCTGGCCACGCCCATGCCCAGTTTAGCAAAAGGGGGAAAAGTCCTGATATATCACATGATGCCGCCGTGATGATGCAAGTTTGACACCCCTGAACCTTACATATCTTGCTTAAGCTTTGGAAAGTAAAATTTCCCATTTCCTAAAAGTGCATAAATCCTGCTATTCTAGGAAAAAATATTGAAGGATTTATTAGTTCAATATTTATGACCATGGCTCTAGATCTCCATATTTTTTTAAAAAATCTATAATTATATATTACAGATTGAAGCTAGATAACAGGTATGTTTTATAAAATCCGCAGTCATTTACTGCCTCTTGTACTTAATTTTAAAATATGATAGAGAGTTCCCTTGGCTTGCTGAATCACAGATTAAGGAACTTTTAAGCAATTATTAATTATAAGGAATCTGTTTATGATTCTGAGTGGTATTTTAGTTTAACCATAATGGAAACCATTATTCCAAAGAGGTATCAGAGATGAAGTTTTAGTCAAGTAGACTTAATGTTATTTCTGATTGTTTAGCTACAATTGTATAAATAATCTTTATTGTCATTTTTTTTCCTGTGGGCACTGTGGCACACATTAAAAATGACATTCTGTTGCTTGCTCTCAAAAGTGTATACATACATAACACACATATAGATATGCAATATGTATTTGATCTGCTTGGAAATATTCATATCCCACTATTCTAAATATTGTAATATATTTAATTTTTTAACCTTAAGAAATGTCATCTGCCCCACTTGCCTCAGAAATATAATTTCCCTCATTTAAGTTTGCAGGATATTGGAGACTTAGATCTGTATATGAAATAAACAAGAAATGTTTTGCTGTCTCTTGAATCTCTTGTAATCAAATTATATAGACATTGCTATTGTTGTGAACCATATTAAAAAAAGAACAAGGAGAAGTAGAATAAGGCTATCTAGATCAAGGGCAGGAAGAATCATACAACTTGCATTCTGAAATATCACTATAGCAACATTTAAGCCATGCATAGAAAATGATGCACATTTCTATAATTGCTTCCTTGGATACCAGATATAAATGACCTCTATCTGGCTTAGTTTGTGGTGTTCATACATGTACTTAAATCAAAATATGTTATTTTCTTTTACCTATAATAATATTCTTCCTCTCTGATTTAATCAATATAAGTAGTGTCTTACATACTCTATTTGCCACTTCATAGTTATCCAAAAAATAGTTAAAGCCAACACACGGACATCATTGCTAAAGAGTTGAACAAACAGCTTAGAAATGTTCCAATAAGAAGCCAAATCTTTCTGTTCTAATGAAGAATTACAATTCTTGTGAAATCCCAAACATGAAGCTCTTGTCGTTAATTTATTTTAAAGACTGTTTTGCAAATCTTTGACTCATCAAGAAAAGTCAATAGTTACATATGCTTGCATTTCTTTGGGAATACTGTTTATATCATAGTTTATCATGACTTCCCTCAGTCTCTTGCCAAATGAAATAAAATCCTGATTAAACAGAAGCTGTCCACATGAAAGCATCTATTGCTATAAATCATGGTTTGTACAAACTTTGCAGTATAAGGATTCCTATGGCTAGAAAATAAGCAACACTATCAATTAATGGCTCCATTATTATTATAATCCCTTTATTATTCTTTGTTTTAGCTGTTTTATAGTTTTTTTTAATGATTTTAAATAATTTAATGATAATAATTTTAGATTTATTATTTTAGTCTTGTTGAACACCATCCTGAGTCACTTGTTTGTGAGTTGGGCAGTGACAGAAATAAGGTAAATAAGTAAATCAGGTATTTTATGGAATAAGATACTCAATATCTCTTGTGACAAAAAGTATTCTCTAAAATTATCATACAAAAATTTTCTACTGTTTAGTAGCTTTACTAATTGTACAAAACTTTCAATAACTAAGAGAACATTATAGACACATTAATCCTTCCTAGCCATATTTGGTTAAGAGAGAGGTTATTGAGAACTTTTTCATAACTTTCTGTAACTCACTTCATATTTGAAATAGGAAGAAAGGATGCTCTGATGAAAATCATTTTGCTTGACATCCTAATAATAACCACAGCCTAATAATCTACATTCATAGCAGCATTTATGTACATATTCTGTTACTACTGTCATTTCTTACAGCATTAAACTAGGAGGCCAGCCTTTGCTTCATCAGAACTTATCAATGTAATCACAATTTCTTCCAATACCATAAGGTATCAAAACATAGATATTTAAATATTAGCTAACAACATAGAAAAGAGAGATGGGGTGGGAGAAAGAAAAGGAGAGGAATAGAAAGTTTGCAAGGCATAGTCTCTGCTGTTCTAACATGATTCTTTTAAAGGCTGCATTTGACTCTGTAGGGATTCGTATATCTTAACATTGTGAAACTGTTTTCTCTTCAAGAAGTATTTTGAATCATGAACCTTCCTGACTATTGAAAATATTTTTTTTTCAATTAGCTAATTTGCAGTCGTTTTAAAGCCAAACATGTTAAATGAAACAAACCTTCAACGGCCCCATGCTTCTTTCCTTTCACTAGCAATTCGTGCATTTTATACCCAAAATTGTTCTCTATTCTGAAACTCCTGGCTGTCACTTCCTAGCTGTCTGATAGTAATTACAGAATTGCTTACCCTTTTATCCTGAAAAAAAATATGGAAGGCATCTTGGCTAATTATGAGATGCTGATGAATGTTGCACTTATATTCTGACACAAGCGATGAAAACAGTTAACCAGATGAAATGCCTTTCCCCACCACAATGGAAACAACACCACACATTCAAAACCCCAAAGATTCTTGAGGATATTTTCAATGCTACTGGTATTACCTATAAACAGCACCGGTGTGCACGTCTGAATGACAAAATCTCTCCTATTACAACAAGAGAATGTTGAATTCCAATCTGAACCACGTCCACATGGTTGTTGTTTTTAGCTCTCATGCCAAGCAAGTTTAGCATCTCTGAAAGTCCACATCTACTATCACCACTCCACACAACAGTGAGATTGACTCTTATTTCATCAAGATTTCCTCCCTCCCCCACCAACCCTCCTCCCCATTCAATGGACATGTAGCTTTGCAATAGAACTGGCCCAGGATCAAACAATGGTGGCACTATTTTCCTGTCAAATAGCAAGATGGCTTTGCCAATGAATTCTGATTTATCAAATCATAGTAGAGTAATTCAGTGGCAAGAGGATTGCTTTATTATTTTTTCCCCTTTAAAAACATGCTTTTTCCTTCTCCATCTTATTTTCAGGACTTGCCCAACACAAGCACAATGTCCATGTTCTATTGCTGTTGATGCAAGGATTGTCCCTAACTTGGACAAAATGTATGGAGTCAGTGGGGGACAAGCAAGATTTATTTTAACAGATCCCCCAAAATAATGGCATGTGTTCAGAAAAGAAACTGTAATCATCCATTTATTTTCACTGATTTATTTAAGAGTTATGAAATAAAGGGATTTTTAAAAACTAGATACTTCGCTATGAAAGCTTTGCAGGATTAGGAATCCCTGCATGTGTGTCTCTGAGAAGATGGCTCAAAGTTCACTATATTTTATGTATCTAATACTTAGAAGGCATGACACAACCTCATATAGCATAACTTTAGTAAACAGATGGTTTAATTTTTCCTTCATAGCTTAATGAAACTAACATTCAAAAATATTGATGTTGTGGGATTGACAGGTTATCAAATATGTTCAGAAGTCTTTTCTAAATAACATAATGGGGAAACACTGATAAAGTGCTCAAACTCTTATAAGATTACAAGTGGAAAAATCTTGGAGAGAGAATAGTTAGAAAGACATTTCCAGTTGTTACCTGTGAATATATTACTTTTTCAGAAAAAGCAGATCTTCCCAATTTGATTAAGTACATTGGTATGTGTGTAGACATTTTGATTATCAGCCCCTGGATGCAAGATGAGAAGAGCCACATGTGAGAAGGAAACATACATTTAAATGGTAAACAGCATTGTTCAGAAGAAGACAATCTAATGGAAACTGATTAGTTACCGCAATACCCTTTAAAATATCTTGTCCTCTTCTGTGTCTATACATTTTTTTACAACTATGAAGTGCTCTCCTTTTGGGAAAGAGTAATTAATAAAACAAAATGACCAACAATCAACTTTCTTAATGGAAAGTAAAAACTTTTCAGATTCATTTTTCCAACTTATGGCTTCAATTAAAGGCTAGTTTTGTCCAACCACTGCATTATTTGAATCTAGTCTGCTGTGCTAACTCAACCCCTCGTTATTGGATGGCTGTGTTGCATGGATCCAGAAAATTGGATTAATTGGATATATGATGCTCCAAGCCAACCTGGATAAATAGGTTGTACAAAGAGATCCAGAGTCCCTCCCAGGTATACAAGAGTACAGAACATAATGTGCAATCCTATTTCCTTAGTGAACATGCATAGGATCAATGTTACTCTTTTATTTTAAACCCAAGCATTAAGACCACTGCATCCAGTGCAACATAGAAAGATAAATATCAAAACAATATGATATACCCACAAAATTCAAGTGAGTGTCATTTATGAGGAGCCACGCGGCCGCAGACATGCTTCTGGAGAGGATTTACCATCAAATCATAGTAGAATGAATACTCTAGGAAACATTTGAGGAAAGGTCTCCTTCACTTTTCTTTGGATGCAGATTGCCAAGCGCATCACTTGTGCCACCATCTCGAAATCATCTTTCCCCAGTTTGCCTGATAATTATGCTTTATTACTACACCTTCTCTTACAAAGACTTCTTCAGATGGTGAAAATGCCATCATCTCCATTTCTTCCCCTATTTGACTCTCCTCATATCAAATTTTTTTCAGCTGACCTTCTGATCCAGACCTAGTGCCTTCCAGATATACCGGACTTCAACTCCTATTACTTCCTAACCTGAGACAACAGAGATGGCCATGTATCCTATAGATGATGGGAACTGTCATCCACCTTACTTTGGGGTTGGAGAAGACTGTTATGCAATGGTGATGAATTTGGCAGCCTTGGGCCAGTTGGTAACTCAAGCATTACATTGCCAGATACTGCAGAAGCACGACAGGCATTGCTTTTCTTTACTAAAGAATGAATAGAAAGGATGGCTAGACAACCAAGGTATCTGCAAGGGTTACCCAAAGGTTGATTCCCTTCCTCACCTTACCCTCATCCAAGTACCTCCCTCCCCACAGTCCCTGTTAGGTACCATTTTTGGTTCCCCTTTGGTCTCTCCTAGCCTTCAAATACATAAATCACTCCTAAGCTCCATCACCTTTTTTTAAAAAAGGCCAGGCATAACGACCAAGAAAAACATAATAATAATGTGACACTCACTGTATTTGAAAATCACCCAGGAGCAAAAAGGATATCCAGAATGAAATTCCGAAGAAGAAGAAAAGAGGGGAGGGGGGTTGTTTGGAAAAAAATTAAAAAAAAAAAACAGGCACCACCACCATCAAGGGCAAAACTACATCATCTCGGCAACAGATCCAATTTGATGGGAGGAAAAAAGGGTAGAAAATTAAATATCCATCTGCAATTTTCCATCTAGTTCGGTTCAAAAGAGCTCCAAGCCTGCTGGTTGTTGGGGTTTTTTTCCCCCTCCTTTCCAGCTTCCTTTACATGATACTTCTCTTTCCTGGCTTCTTCGCTCCCCCACCCTGGCCGTCGCTCTTAGGATGTGGCTGTTTTCAAATGTCCCTGCATGTATCAACTTCTTTCTTCATCAGGGCACAAACGGACAGGACAGGCTTCGGGGTGGGTGGGGGGGACGAGGAAGGGAAAACCCAAACCGAAAACAATCAGTTCGACGAAAAGAGTCTTTCTCCGTTGAGAAACTTTTCATTCCTGCTCGGATCTTCTGGTGAGGTGTTGCATCCTTTGCCTCTCCTCTCTCCAATACTTACACTCCTTTGAATCCCCGAAGGAAAGATTTTGCCGATTTGGTTTCCCCCTCCGCTCCCCCCGCCTCTCTGTCTCCTCAGCCTCCGCAACGACTCCACGGCCCGTCCGTTGAAGGCGATTGCTCTTCTTTTGGGTCGGTCTGCTAAGATCCAGCGGGAGCCAAGGAAAATCCTTCGCGTCCTTTTTTCTTTGCCGCCCGCTCGATTCTCCGATCCATGTGCTTCCACCACAGATCGGGGGTTCCCATGATCTCGGCACTCAGATTCCCTCTTCTCACCAGCCGGGCGCGCAGCCTCTTTACATTATTTCTCCCCAACCAACTTTAGGGTTTCTCTTGTCACCCTCGCCGCCACCACCACCCCCTCCTTCCTATCCGCCGATTCAAGGATCTGATTAGATTTCCAATCACAACCCAGTGCGCAATCGGATTTTTTATTTCAGCCAGGAAGCCAGCAAGCCCAACTCTCCACGTTACTATATCCCTTCGCTTTCCAACTCCTCTGCGTTTTTCAGAGCCTCACATCAAACGGGAAGGGGACGCTGAGGCGAACAGTGGCGGCGGCAGTCGAGAGCTTGGCAAGGGGGGGGAGAGGAGAGAGAGCGAGCGCGGGGAAGAGGGAGAGGAGGAGATCCAGGGAGTGAGCGAGCAAACAAGGTTCCCACCAGCTGTCAAAAACCAATCCGTCATTTTTCGAACCACCTGAAGTGGGCGGCTTTCACCCACCTCTTCCCGCGCTCCCCTGGCTTCATTTTCCTCCTTTCTTCCTCATCCAGATCACCCCCGGCATTCAAAACTCCCCTGTCGGAACCCGCCGATCTCCCCGGGGAGGCGCGATTCGTCCGGCTCGCCGTGATTTTTGCCAGCCGGGGATTTCCCCTCCTCTTCATTTCGTCTTCCTCTCCATTTTTGCTTGCCAGCCTGCTGGAGGGCCGCGAGGAGGGGGGAAAAAGGGGGGGGGGGGGCCGGAGAGGAAAATGTATTATTTGAAATACTCAGAAGAAGCGAAAGGGGGGGGGGGGGGGGCGCCCGGGGGGGGGCGGGCCCTTCTCTCCAACTGTTCCCCCCCCCCCCCCAGCAGCTCCAAATCCGCTTGGCGACCCTTCCGACCTACAAGTTAAAGCGCCGTCCCCCTCCGGCTCCCCTCTTCCTCCTCCTCCCCAGGTCAGTCCCTTTCCCTCTTCAAGGGCTCATTCCGAGGCAAATCGGCCGCCGCGGGGCTTCTTTGACACCGCCAAGCTTTCGCTCTCCAGAAACGCTCAGCCCTCCGCGCAGCTGCAACCGCTTTTTTTCGCGGCCGTCAGCTCCGGTTTGAACTCCTCCGCCCGCTGGGGTGAGGAGAGGGGACAAGTAAATAAAGAATCCGCTTCCCACCCAGCAGCTGCCGCGGAGGGCAACGCTGGCTTTCTTCGCGCTTCCTTTCTGCAGTCGCACGAAATACACCTGCTGCCCCGGGCTGATCTTTTTACCTATACAACACACTTTCCAGTGGTCTTTCCCTTTCCCCGCCAGGTTCACACATTCACACGACGAGTCTTTCTCAAACCGCCCCCCCCCCCCCCCCCCCCCCCCCCCCCCCCCCCCCCCCACGCTTGTGATCAGTAAAATACAATTACCCAATTACCTCCCATCATCTTAGCACTGATTGGTCAATTGCATTAACACTTGCTGTTAAGAGAAAGGAACTTCTGCGGTGGGACTCTGCTGCCACCCAGCGGACAGTTAGGAAACGCGATGGCCAGGTGAACTTCAAAGGAAACTTCCCAACAACGGCGGGGTAATCGGAATTGAAGGGCTCATCTTGAGGAAAGGAATGTCAAAAGTCATTTTCTTTAAAAAGAAAAAACAAACAAACAAACCTTCTCGCAGCGCCCACTGGTTCATGCTTTGCAAAGGAAAATCAATGCGGGCAAAAGAAAGCTATGCAAGGCATGTCCGCTGGTCTTCCCGTACATTTCTTCCCGTACATTTCTCCCCATGTTCACAGCCTTCCGTGAAACGTGCTTCTTTTCTTTCGTGGCAATTTGTTTGTAAAGCAAGCGCGTAGCAATATCTGGGATTTCATTCCTATCGCTGGAGCCGGAATCTCGCAAAGTGAAGAGGGCAGGTCAGTCTCTCCTTAAGAGCCTCAGCACAGTCTATAAATGTGAAAGGCCATGCATGCAGTTTATAGCGCTGATTAAGTCTGCGTAGTTAAATCCCACGTAAGGGGAGGGAGAAGATTTGCTGTGAGATGAAGCTTAAAGAAGAGAAAGCTTTTAAGATAAGAAATGATCTCGTGGTATATAGTTGGTGCAAGGTTTACAAAGGCAGGAGGTTTCAGAACTATATACTTCTGAACTTGTGACTTAAAGTGCAATAGGATTGTGAATGTTTTGAAACACAATAAATAAATTGCACAAGGCAATTACTTAGCTATCTACATTAATTAAAATCAGTAACTTTTTTCAGGTTGGCCTCTCAAAGTCGCATGAACTTGCAGACACTGAAAGTGTCTTTTAATGCATAGCTCCCATCTAGTACAGGTGTGAGTACTCTTATGAGGTGATGGGCAACTCAAGGAACTTGCCTTTGGGCTCATGTTATATCTCTAAAGTGAATGCAATGAGTTTTATTGTTATCTGAGCATACACAGATTTGCATTTTACAGTGTACTTCTGTAATATATTTTTCACATAAAATCTTAATAAAGTTAATATAATCTCAAGTATTTGTGATATTGTAGTCTCATTTATTGTAGTTACTTCCTGTAGCAATATTATGCATTCCTTAAATTGTTTGGAACTTTATTTGAAAAAAAAAAAAAAGGAGAGAGGTTGTGCTCTCTTAAGGTCATCTATAGGGGTTGGTCAAAAAAACTCAAAATTCATCTCCCCCTTGCCAGACATCCCTCCTTCTATTTCATTTGACCAGATTCAAAGCTCTGATGGCCCCTTAAAATTTCCAAAGTGTGATCAATATCATACTATTTTTATATATAGTTTACTTTTTAACATATGACTTAAGACCACAATTGAGCCCAGGTTTTATGTTGCTATGTGGGAAATTTGTTAAGTGAACTTTGTCCCATTTTATAACTTTTCTTGACACATTTGTTAAGTGAATCAGTGCAGTTGTTAAATTAGTGACATGATTGTTAAGTGAATCTGGCTTCCCCATTGACTTTGCTTGTCAGAAGGTCGCAAAAGATGGTCAAATGACCCTGGGACACTGCAACCATCATAGCATCAGAGTTGGAAGGGTCCACTAGTAGCCCTGTGCTATGTTCTGTGATTGGCTATCCAATCTCTATTGATGCTTTTAGTTAAGGGGAAACCACTATCTCTCTGGATGATCAATTCTATTCTCAACCTGATCTTGCTGTTGAAAAAAATAATAATATTCAGTCATAAAGTCCACCTTTAACTAAATACATTATTTCATGATCTGTATATTATAGTAACAGAACTAACTTTCTTTTATGTCACATCTCTTCTAGTGTTTGAAGAATGCTATCACCTTTCCTGGCCATCTTTTCAGAATAAATATTCCCATTTCCTTCAAGGTTTTTTTTTCTTCATATTATTTGGTTTCTTAGTCTTGATGACATTCTCCATACCTTTTCAACTTTGCCTGAATACTTCCTAAAGTAGAGTGTTCAGAAATAGATGACATACTTGTGACACAGCATTGAATAAAGTGAGAATTTTGAATCTATACTTCTTTTGACACATTCTAACATTGCATCTGCCTTTTTTGGAGTCACTTCACACTAATGAAATCATATTCCATTGGTGAAGTACTGTTCCAATTTTTCACAAATATTATTGTCATGTCCAATTTCCCAGTTCCGTGCCTATTGTTTTTAGGTTATAGAATGAAGAACATTGTATTGTGGGTTTTTCAGCCTTTTTTTTTTGGCATACCAAGACTGCTTTGTCCTTTCTTTCTGTCTCCTAAGATGCTAGTTTTACCAAGCAATTCTATGGTGGTATTAAATATGTATTATCTCCACTTGTCTACTGCTAATCAGAATGCCAAGATTCTTTAGTAATCCTTTGCTATAGACAAGACATATTATTCTTTGCAGTCACCACAATGCAATAGGATTTATTTATTTTTATTTATTTATTTGATTTGCCAATTGTTTACAAGATAATAAGTATAAATGTATACATAGTTGTGAATACATGAAATGGGTACATATAAGAAAAATAAAAGAATAAGAGAAACAATAGGACAGGGACGGTAGGCACGTTGGTGCGCTTATGCACGCCCCCTACAGACCTCTTAGGAAAGGGGTGAGGTCAATAGTAGACAGTCTAAGGTTAAAGTTTTTGGGGTTTGGGGAAGAAACTACAGAGTCGGGTAGAGTATTCCAGACATTGACCACTCTATTGCTGAAGTCGTATTTCCTGCAATCAAGTTTGGTGCGGTTTACTTTGAGTTTGTATCTATTGTGTGCTCTTGTGTTGTTATGGTTGAAGCTGAAGTATTCATTGACAGGTAGGACATTGCAA